GTGGGAGATGAGAGCCTTGGGCCACATGGTTCTGGATTCAAATCTGATGCAACCTTGTGAAATATGTTGCCATCTTAAGTCTCAGTCTTGTCACAGGGAAGCTGAGAACCACAGCAGTGCCAGCCTCCTAGGATCAGGGTGGTGGTGGCGGGGTTTCACTAGCGTATCTGAGCACAGACTCTGGCATTGAAGTGGGAACAGCAGGAAAGGCTGCTCGGTGGACAGCGGGGCCTGCTGGGGCCTGGCTCTCTTCCAAGACTGCCCTGCACACAGAGAAGAGCGTTGGGGTGCTCACGTGTGGGGTGGCAGGAGCACAGAGCATCACGTTGCCTTTAGGCACCCAAGCGAGCAGCACCAGCAGGTCAGGATGGCGCTGGATCAGAACAGCAGGGTGAGGGCTGGAGCTGGAGCGGGGAGCAGCACCCCTCTTTCCTCTGCTCCACAGCACTGCGCCTGCCGGTGCTTCCCACCCACTCAGTCCACAATGACCTCTTCCCACAAGCCTTCAGCCTCTTGCAGCCAGCACACAGTGGCACAAAACGTCAGTGGATTCTTCAGGGGCCCCGAAGCCAGCAGCTAATGGATGAAGGCGTTCGAGCTCCCTGCAGCCTCCCAGCCAAAAAGGCTCTGGGGTGCAGCCTCCATTTCAGGAGCTTCCTGTCATCTGAACGCCTGTCCCTAGCTGCAGTGCCACAGAGCAGTGGCCATGACAGGAAGCCATCGGACAAAGAAGAATGAAAAGCAAAATACTAACTTTTGCCCGAGGGAAAGAAGATGACAGGAAAAACCAGGTTTTACCCCCGAAGTGCTCCAAATCAGTATCTGCTCACCACGGTGGCAAGCAACCTAGTGCCGTCCGTTTCTACACACGGTCAGCACTGCCCCTCCTCAGAGGCTGACGCCTGAGGGGCCAAGCAGGCTTCTTGGCAGGAGCAATCTGAGTGGCCAAATTAGCTGCTCACCAGAAAGTCAGCAGTACGGTATCCAGACTGGTGGATGCCAATGGTACATGTTACTGTAATTCTCTAACTTAATGAGCTACTTGTAAGCAAATAAAATATGAGGGGAAAAAGAAAGAGTTATTGTTGCTGGGAAAAACAAGACAGAAAGCTCTGAGAAGACTTGAGAGTCCCCTGGCTTACACTCCTTGTTTTTAGTAGGATGCTAGATGGCTGGTACTCTGGGTCACTTCTGGAATTACTCATTTTCCCCTGGGTGTCTCCCATGTACACATGATACATGTTTATAAGTTTCTTTTTTTTTTTTTTTTTTAGGCTCAAGATTCAAATCTGCTTTCAAATGCTGACTAGTTAGGATCAGGTGAGACAGATGTAAGAGCCTGGATACATCATAAAATGTCAAGGTGCCCACACATCAGTGTGTTTGTTCACTTCAAACATAGAGCTTACAGATTTTTAATAGGAAAGGTTTACGCAAGTAAAATCATACACTGTAATCATAAAAAGTCCTTGGGGCCCTTTACTAAAAGATTCACAAGTAAATATATATGTGTATCTTCTAAATTAAGGTAAAGCGTGTGCTTTGAATGGGTTGTTTCTTGTTAAAGCAGTTTTTCCAATTAACTAAACAACGAACTAGCTGTCCCAAATGCACTGGTTGTGAGGCACCTATGGTACACTATGATCTTTTTTTTACTTCGTACCTTTTCGTTCCTAAAACCAAGCAGTGACTATCTGCCTGATGTGACCATGGAATGGTATGTCCCCAGAACTTCTTCAGAGTAATGATGCCAACCGATGGAGCACCAGCAAGTAAGTTTTAGAGGATTCTTAAACCTAATACCTCTTGCAAATTCACCATACTATCTAGTGTGCACTAAATGTAAATAAATACACTACGCATTCAGAATCCAGATTTACCCCCAAAATTTCACCATGAGTCACATTTTTGGCAGCAACACTCAGTAAATCCTGTGAAGAAATCAAGACTGAAGGACCCACAGAATAGTGCATAGCCCCTATTCTCAGAAAATTTACTAGTGTGTGTGTGCACTCAAACACACACACACACACACACACACACACACACACACACACACACCCAGAATGGAGAAGTGACCTTTTATCAGTAGGCACTACAGATCAAAATGACCTATCAGCCACCCATCTCTAGTTAATTTTCACAAATGCTGGGCTTCAAGCTCCAAAGCTTGCTCTTGGGCCACTATTCTAGAAAGTTCAAAGGGAGCAATTTCTAACTTTTTTTTTTTTTGTTTTTTAACTTTTTATCGGTACCGGGCATCGAACTCCCGACCACTTGCTTGCAAGGCAGGTGCTTATGCCACCGAGCTAAATCCCCAGCCCCAAAGGGAGCAATTTCTTAAGCACAGACTATGTGCGGGACTGGCTCTTTCTGGACGTTTTCTCATTTACTTTTCACAGCCACAGGAAATGATCCCTGCTCATTTCAAAGCAGTAGAAGAGGAACCATCATACAGGTAGGGTGGGAGCCTCAGTCCATACCCTGATCTGCCTGGCTTCAGATTCCATCTTCTTTCCCCCGTGCCTGGTTACCAGAGTCTTCTGGCCTCTGTCCTGAAGCTGGGGCAGGGATGTGTGTCTCCGTAGAGAACAAGGCTGCCCTGGGGGTGGAGCAGGCTCTGTGGCCTGGCCAGGTCTGCGTGGGCAGCTGTGGCCTGGAGTACAGTGGAACCCCTGGGTCCTAGAGCAGCATGGCCTTCTCCCCCTCAGTGCAGAAGCTGAGAGTTCCGACTTTGGAGGCCTGACCACCACTCACTTCTCATCTCTGGAGGCTGCTGTGGGGAAGGCACTCATGGCAGGAGGACTGTGCCAATGGCAAACACTTTAGTACCAGCATCTGTGCCCGAGCACGCTCCTGGGTTAGAAAGAATAGCAGGATGGATGGGTGAAGGTGGGCAGCAAGCTTGTAGTCAGGCTGTCCAGCAAGGTCCCAGGACTTATTAAAGAGCCCCCATGGATCCTTCCTTCCCTTCTGCTTGTGCTCAGCAAAGAGGATCTGGGGCTTCAAGCTGGGGGAAACCAGGCAGGCCAGGAGGTGAGGTGGGGGCTGGGGACTGAGCTGGGGAACTCCGAGGGGTGAGCTGCAGTGGACGTGGAAGGGTGGGGTTAGAGAGAAGGCTCTGGGCCCCAGGGCAGAAGGAAGCACAGTGGGCAGAGGTGAAGAAGGAAAGGGAACAGATCTTGTTAAGTACTTTAGGGTGGCCAGTGTCTTTGCAGTTACTTCCTGGCTCCATTGTGATCTCCACAAGAGCTGGCAGTGGCCTGGATTGCAGAGCAACAGGCGAAACCTAGCCTTGAACCTAGGCTGGTGGCCTCAAAAAACCACGCGCTTTCTACTACAGACACTGCCCCGTAGTTGTGTCACCATGTGGTGAGTGGAGTCACATTTGATCCATTGGAGATGTACCTGGGCTGCCCTGATCTGAGCTGTGATGCAGTCACTGCACAGAAGACCTTTGAGAGGTCCTTCCCTAGGGGTCCCTCCTCCCTGGGGTGGACCATGAGCTGCAGCACAGACACTGGCTCCTGGGGCCACCAAGTCCTTCTGGGCCCAGGCTCTCTGACAATATGGAAAACAAACAGGCAGGAGACCCAGGCATTGCCAGCAGGAGCATCAGCATGGACCTGCCCCTGGTTCCTGGTCTCATGTCCTAGTCTCTGAGGGCCTCTACCCACTTCTCTCCAAATTTGATTTCTGATTTGGAAGCTCTAGGCTTTCAATCAGAAAAGGATTTCAACACATGCTTGCTCAGCAAAGCACAGGGGCAGCCCAGGTCCCCAGGGCTGGTGGACACGTGTGGGTGGACACAAAGTCCTGGCCCCACCTCCAGTGTCCCAGAGTGACTGGTCTCATCCACTGGCTGCACAGGGCGGGCACTTCTGAGGCACAGTCCCTAAGGCCACAGTCTTCTGCTGTTCCAAACGCTAGAGCTGCTGCCTGGTCTCATTCCTGTGGCTCCTGGAGGTCTCTCCATTTGCTGCTATGTGAGCTAGCTCCATGATCTGTTTGGTTTTTCTCTTTCTCACTGAAGAAAGATGTCTCTTCACATGGTTCTCAGGACAATGTGCCCATTCCTTGGTAAGTATCTGTCTTCTCTGTGTGTGTAGTGTCCTGACCTGCAGCTGAGTGTGGGCAGACTGCTGAAAGCCCAGTGGGGTCCCAGATGCTGGGTCATCCAGTGTGTATGAACACACACACACACACACACACACACACACACACACACACACTCACACAATCAGCCCCTGCAGCTAGTGGGCTTTCTTTCTTTATTGCTACTGCTCTTGAAATTGGTGCTAGAGGATTATGACCGAGAAGTTGTCCCTAACAGTCTATCAAAGGCTAACACGGAACTGCCATGGTGTTACATGCACACAGTAGGCACTTTATAAACACTGCATTAAACCCCGGGAATCATGTCCCTTTACAGCGATAGGGGCTGAGACTTAGGAAAGCCTTCGTTCTGTGTCACAGGTGATGTGCAAAAGCTTAGTGATGTCCAGCCTTGGGTGCCCCTCTGGAGGCTGAGTTTCCACACTGCACCTCCTCTGCCTGCTCTGGTCTGCAGAGACATGGACACCTGAGCTTCCCCCAGGTCAGTGGACTCAGTGTCCTGATGAAGAACTGACCTATTCCTCACGAGAGAGGGGCAAGGTGTACTGGACAAGTAACCGCGAGCCCACCCCTACATCTTGCTCTGTGCCCAGAATAATACTGTACACTTGGCTAGTACTTACCTGCCTTCAGAGGGCTTGTTCCCATTTGACTGATACACTTTTTTTCAGGCAGCAGCAGCAAGTACTAAAAAGTCTCCTAGCTTTAGGTTCCACTTAAGCCCCCCTCCCAATCTGGCCTTTGCCAGTATCCCTAACACAGCAGTGCTGTCTCTGAGGCCCCACCCTCCGCAGGTCTGTAGGGAGCAGCAGACCCTGGCACCCACACTGTGGGTTACTCATACTCCCCGCTGTGACTCCACACCCCAGTGTAGACACACTCACCATGAGATGTTGGAAGAGCCAAGAACGCATTATATTGGTGGCGTGCTTGGGCAAGACTCCGCGTTTGTTCTTGGACTTCTTATCCTCATTGTCCAGGAGGGAGGTGAGGTCAAGGTTAACCTTCAGGGCACGTGGAGAAAAAAATCAGCATCAGTAGGCTGTGAGGCCAGTGGCTAGGGACCTGTTGCCATAGCGACAGCAGGCTCTGGCTGCCAAGTCCGTTCTGAACTCATTCTTAGGGCTCTGGGGAAGTCACCTTTCCCTCTCGCCCCTCTCCAGCCCCTCAGAGGATGGAGATGAGGCTTGGGGTCAAGGGAGCAAGGAAAAGAGAGAGGGAGAAGGAGAGACAGGAGGAGACGGAGAAAATGTGGAGGCATGCACAGAGCATCAAAGATGTGAATTTGCTGTAAACTATCCAATAGCTGTTAACACTTCATAGTTTGCACAGCACTTTCCTAACCTTGGCCACAGATAACCTTCACAATAGCCCTGTGGTTTGGTTGGCCTGTGTGCACTTGGTATAGATCCACCTTTATTGATAAGAACTCTGAGGCTCTGAGACAATAGAAGACTTATCCAAGATCAGGGCAGTAACGTCAGAGCTTAGGCCTCCAAGATCAGCTCTTTCTATAGATCTGCACTGTATACCACTGATGTGGGGTGACTTTGGAGACAAGAGCTAGGAGGTGTGGGACTCTTTGATGTAAACTCAGAAGGCAGCTGAGTCCCAGGAGTTAATAAAAACCTTTCTCAGAACCCCCCAGCTTCTTATCTGTAACGTGGGGGTATGGATACCTCCTGGAGGGATGGGGAAGATGAAAAGAATCACTGCCTTAAGTGGCTGGCAGAGAATAAGTCATCATGAGTGCCCTCCCCTGCCCATGCACATGTCACACACCTACACACACTCACCTGTGTGTTCTGGATCTGGATGGCTCCCTGGGGGATTGCTTGGGTGACCACCTGACCCTGGGAGGTTACCATGGTAACCGGTTGGTATAAGGCTCCACCTGAGGAGACAACCAGTTTTGGGGTCCCCTGTCATGGGGGGTTGGGAAGAGTGAGGGCAATCAGGGTCCCCAGGTCCCTTGGCATTTGTGTGTGAAAACCCTCTGCCATGGAGGCCTGGGGCAATGAGGTATGATGGTTCCTTCACTTGTTGGAAAGGAGCAGGTGTGTGGGGTTGGTGTCCAGATGAGAGAGCAGAGCTTCTGGAGGGAAGTGTTTGAGGGAAGGGACCGCAGTCTTACCTAGTCCTGATTGGGGGTTGGATCATGGAGAATTTGACCCAAATGTGTTCCAACCCATCGCCATCAAGACTTGGTGTACCGTCTGAGAACACTTCAGTCAAGAAACTGAGGGTGCTGGACGTCCAATGGCAGTGGACGCCCTCTGACCCTGGAGTTCCCTAGGGGCCACCCTGTCTTCTTCCAAGGATGCTCCCCACAACTCCCAACACCCCATTCTCTGCACTGACCTGACACGACTTGTGAGTTGACGGTTGTCATGGCGATGTTGCCCTGCTGGAGTGCTGAGGCTGGGACCACAATTCCCTGGGGGTTATTGGAGACGCCAGACATGGAATTGGGGGAATTCTGCAGGAGGTCCTGGCGGTAAGGGAGGCATGGTTTATGACAATGTCCCTGAGAATTGGGATTCTGTGCCCCCAAATCCTCCTATCCCCTTTCTGTCTTCCCTCCCCTTCCTTTCTGCTCCTCCTCAGTCCCAGGTCCAGAAGGCAGTTCTCCTGGCTTCTTAGAATCCAACACTAAGAAAATGAAAACCCAAACCAAAAAAATAACAATGGTCATCTACGCAACCATTCCACTCCCTGCCAACCTGAGGTACGGGTTACCCCCAAACCAGTGGGCCTCACCTTGGCTATACTTTGGAATCTCCTGGATTCCAAACCCTGAAACTTGTTTAATGGCCAGGGGTATGTCTTGGGCTTGGGGGTTTCCAAACTCCCCAGGCGGTCCTGACAGGCAGCCTCGGCAGAGCCCCTGGCTTCGCCTGCTCTGCATCTGCTGCTTCTCACGCTCGATAGCGCCAGGTTTTCTCCCTGGTTGTCCTCCCCACTCGGAAGTGCTCTCTTTCTCACATCCTTTAGAACAGCATGCGTTTACTACATTGCAGATCAAGACAAAGCAGCCTCTGGTTTTTATTTTGTATGTTATTGTTTAATTGTATTTGTTTGCAGTGCTGGGGCTCAAACCCAGGGCCTCATGCATGCTAGGCGAGCACACCACCACTGAGCTGCGTCTCCAGCCCTCCAATGCTTCACCTTTGTATCTTTCTTGTTGTGAGGTGGGGGTGGGGGACCAGGAATTGGACTCAGGCCCTTTTGCTGGCCAGGCAGGTACTGCATCGCTGAGCCATATCCCTGGCCCTGTCTTTGTATCCTTAGCACCTAGTTCAGAATATGAAAATATTTGTTTAAAAATAACAGTGAAGCCACACTGGCCCCTGCGTAACCTGTCTTTTAAGGAAATCTTATACCAGTCTTAACTGTAGCTCCTTTAGCACATACGATCGATTCTTTGCTCTTCCTCAGGTTTCCAGCAGAGGAGTGCACTGAAACAGGGTCCCCCTGCCCCACACGGGCACCCCTTGTATTTTTTTTTCTTTTGGTACTGCTGATCAAACTCATGACCTTGCACTTGCCAGGCAGGCGCTTATGCTGCTGAGCTAAATCCGCAGCCCTGTAGTTTGCTTTTGCAGTAGCCAAGGAAGTTAAGAAAACATTTTTCCTGCATACCGCTCCCTTCAACATTCTTAGTCAATGATCAGGTAAGGATTCTTGAACTTGATGTTGAGGGGTTCAAGATTCTGTAGGAAGAGGCTTGGTTTGGTGTCCCCCAACTCTGGGGAGCCCACATGTGGTGGCTGGGTTATCAGAGAGTCTGTGAACAGACTGGCTGTGTGAAAGGTCAATGTTTGTAGAATTGGAAAAAGCAAGAAACTGAGCCAATGAGGCAGAGAAGAAGGCTTAGGAGAATTTCTCTGTTTTTCTGTCTTCTGCCACCATAAACGGTTGCCCCTTGGCCACACCACCCTGCCTTGGAGCCAGCGGAGTACAGACTGAAACTTCCACAAACTGTGAGCTAAGTAAACTCTTCATTCCTTAATTTTGGGCATTGGGCATTTTGTCTCAGCAATGAGAGGAAGGTAACGAAGAGCCCCCCTCTTCCCACCCAGCACCACAGTGGCCTCTGGGGTTGTTTCTCTGGGGTATCCTTCGGTCACCTCTACTGCTATGAACTTGCAGAATGACTCCTTCCTTGGCCTCCCCGTTCTGGGACTCTATGAGAGCTTCTCACCCACTGAGGTTCATTCCTTGAGCAGAACTCCTGATCTGATTGTTCATGTAATTGGGGTCTAAGACCGTGTGATGTGCAGCAGTCTAGAACCTGCAGGATCCCTTAAAGTCTCCTCATATTCCACCTCCCAGAGGTACAAGCAAGAAGCTGAGATTGACAGGCCATAGTGTCTTGCCCACAGTCGCCCAGTTGTTAAGCAGCAGTAGGACTGGAACACAGCTCTCCTTCATCTACAACTACAGTACACTCAGTATTCAACCTACCTTGTGCTGGGCTCTGGGATGCAAGACAATCCTTGAATCCCATTCACCAAAGGTAAGGTGAGCAGATGAAAACCAACCCAAACCCAGAAGTGTGGGCACCAGAGGAAGGATGGCTAGTTTGGGAATCATGGCACGACCCTTCTGTGGACTTCACCTCACTATTTATGAAATGTATTCTGCAGTACTGACAGCCCAGGAACAAGGTTGCTCCAAGGTTGAGCTCCCCTTGTCCCATATCCCAGCCAACTATTCTCACAGCGTGCAAACCAGTCTTGAAGTTATTTGAAACTGAAGCAAACTTGCAAGGTCAAGTTCACAGAGGAGAGGAGGCCTTAACACCATTCATCCTGAAACCAGTGGAAGTAGCTGTTTGATAGTCTCTCATTTGGAATCATCTGTGTGAAGATACTCATTTTCTTTCTTTTTTTGCTAAAGATATTTGAGAATTTCAAACAGAAAGAGTTCTCCTCAACTCTCTTTGCCCAAAAGAAGTATCCAGCAAGTTTAGGAAAGTACAGGGAGAATCAGTACCATAAATACAAGATGTGTCCCATGGTATTTTTGTCTTCTAGCCAAAGGCAGAAGGGTGAGATACCACCTGGATATTTCATCTGCTTGCTCAAACTCTGGCTGGTTCTCTCCCCTGTGGCTTGGATAGCTCCATGCCAGCTCACCAGGTTTGGCTACCTAAAGGCAATTTATACATTGGATCAGATCCTTTTCTTTCCCGCTCTCCTCCTCCTTCTCTGAGTCTTTGGCTGGGAGGTGCTGAGAGGCAGCCAAGTTAAATCAGTGGAAGAATAGAATGGGAAACTTTAGAGGGAGAGACCATGGGGAGGGCCGAGGCTGGTTGCATTTTGGTGGGGTGGGGGTGAGAAATAGGATGCTAAGTCCTGGCACACCCAGGGTCTGGGGAAGCAGTACTCACCCCCTGCACCTGCAAACAGAAGCTGTCTCAGAAACCTCCTGAACATGGGGGTGTTTTTAAAGACTTAGGTTCTAATAGCCACTGAATCAGACCCTCCACAATCAGTATTTAAAAAAGTTTCCCTTGGCTAGCCCAAAAGATCAGATGAATCTGCAAATTACTTATTTATCATCCACTGAATATTAGAGAGTGTTCTTATTTCCCTTTAATCTCCCCACCTAATGAAGCCAGCAAGACAGAGATTATTCCACTTGCCTGAAATGGAATCGAGGTCTAGAGAATGGAAGTGAATTCCATAGTCAAATGGCCCTGCCTGGAGGACAGATGCCTGCAGGGAGAGGAAATGGGCCTTGGGATCAGAGAGACAGGCTCCAATACAAACACACTGCCTGGCACATTTAGCCACCCAATAATTTATTTCCCACTTCCTTTGGCTGAGGTCACTCAGCTGGGAGTGGCACAGTGGGGATTAAAATCCTGTCCTAGAAGTCCTAGAGCCACTTGGGTTCTTTACTTAGCAACAGAAGCAGTTCAGCTGAGGTTGCACACCCAGCTGGAGTGACACAAACCTTGCCACATACCCCTTTGGGGCCTGCCTCTCTGCCTGACTTGCAGCCTGGACAAACAGCAGTTCTGAGCGAGCGCGTGTGCGCGCACACACACACACACACACACACATGCACACGAACACGCACACGCACCTCCCAGCCTAGCTCCAAAAATTCACTTTGCTGCACTTTCAAGTCCAGCCTCAGACCCTAGCTCTGTAGAATGGTGACGCTAGAGCCCTGAGTCCCCAGGGAAAGCCGCAGGTCTTCTCCAAGGAAGGAGCTACCATGGCAGCATCGGAGCCCCAGGGAAGACTGCTGGCTAAGCACACGGTGTTGTTACCCTCCCGACAGCTCTCCCAGGGCGCTCATCACACGCCACACCCAGGTAGGCGCTGCTGTCTGGATCCAGATAGAGCCACTTCCTTCCAGGCTCCTTAGCACCCGCCGAGAAGTGTGAAACACGTGTGGCACAGTTTTGGTGACATTTTCCGGCATCACGTCCCCATTTGAATTGTCCAGGAATCAGGAGCTGAGAACTGGTTATTCAAACCAAGGACTTCTCATCTTTTCCCATGGGTACATGGCACAGCGGCCCTCTGGAGAGACACCTGAAGCCTGGGGATGGGACGGAGAGCCAGGGGCTGGGCTCGCAGGTGTGCCCAGCGGCTGCCTGCTCTTGACCCCAGCATGCTGTCCTTTGCTTGAGACAGGGCTGCACCCCCAAGCCCACCCCTCCAAGGGGCTGAGCAGTGACTGCATAGCAGCTTGTGGTCCATGGTGGCCTGCCAGGCCAACAGAAACGGCCCTATCCAGGGTCATTAATCATTCTTTCTGGACCTTGGTGATCCTAGGTGAGTTTTAGTGTAAACCTCATTTTTGGAACCAAACAAGATAGCCTGTTCAAACTAAAGACCTTACTAAGAAACAGGAGGTGGTGTTTTTGAGGTGACTTTTGGAACGTGGGGACATCCATGAACCCACAGTGGCTGTGGATGGAGATGCTGTTGTCCCCCTGGTGGGCCACTGTTCTTGGCTATTCATAGGGGAAGAGCCTAAGGTGTCCAGGAGACTTAGTTTTCACCCACAATGGAAATTTCTGAAAGAAAATGTGAATGTAGACATGCAGGAGTGATGGGGAGAAGTGACAATAAAGTTTCCCTCAAAGCTTTCTAGAAATTGTTGGAATTTTCATCGTACTAGGGTGCTTGTGAAGCAGAGGAATGAGCTAGATGGCCTCGAGAAGGTCCTTGCAGCTGCAGACTGTCGAAAGACCAACGTGGATCATTTACTGCGTGGGCAGGGTGCGCGACTGGAGCCAGAGAGGGGAACGGCTGCAGAACGAGGAACCCAGTTACCGGCCATCCTCACCCTCGCCGCTAGGGGTCTCTGCTGATCCACCGCCTCAGATCAGCTCACCCAGACCTCCCAGGAGGATGGTTCTGGTCGCTAACTTGTAGGGGTCGGGGAGGATCCAGGTGGGTTCAGACTTCCCCATTTCCGCTGGGGTGCTTGTCTTAATCTCCTCTGAGCATGGCCATGGACCAT